AGCAGAGTCACACTGAACACCCTGAGCAAGGAGAGGCTGCAGGTGACACCCTCTTAAATTCTCCACCACCTGAGCTATGTGTGAGGAGGTTTCCTCCTCCTGAGCAAGCTGCTGAGTAAAGAGAGCTCCTCAGAAATCCCTTACCCCTGTGCCATCAGCAAGGGTGCAGCCTGAGAAGCGTTTGGCCAGGAGCCCCTCAAAGTTGGTTGTTCTCTGAATTGCAAACAGAAGCAATTTCACCTCAATCTCCTTGGCCCTGGTGCGCATGATCTTGGAGAGCTCTGCCCTGCAAGAGAGAGGGGAGATAGAAAAAACAAATGTGGTTTCCTATAAAGGTCTGAAACCCAACACTGGAACTCATTCTGTTCCCCAGAGAGACTTTCATCACAGAATTCAGGCTGATTCCTAAGAGGCTCTCTAACATAAAACTGCTCTGCAGATCCCATTTCAAACACAGCCACGGTTGTTGGGAGCTCTGTGGGTAACAGGACCCCATCTCCTGTTGGGAAAGCCCTGAGGGTCCAAGCTTGGGAAGCTCAGGGATTCCCACTGGAACCCAGAACAAAGCCAATGGTGCTACTGGGACTCCACTGGCACCTTCCTCTGTTCCCTGTCTCTGGCTGGCAAAGAGCCTGGTCACCACAGTCAGCTCATGCCATTCCACTTGGCCTGAAATATTGCTGATTTTTACCCCTGTTACGCTGAAAATTGATTTTCACATCACTTCAATTTCTCATCATTTTAGCAACGCTTCTCAGGCTTTTCACTCCTCACTTCCTTTTAACCATAGGCAATTCCACAGAGACATCTTCATCCCTGCCTTTAGACACTGACCTTCATGGCAAGAGCCAAGCCAAACTTTTATTTTCAGGAAGCTGGGAGGCAGCAGGAGCTGCATGGCATCACCAAAGGGGTACTGGGATAGACAAAGGTGATACAGAGACTCTATCTTCAGAAGGCATGAAAAGGCCCTTCATTATTATAGGAATTTAGAGGGGTTTAAAAATTATTATTATTATATTTTTATTATTTTTATATTTTATTATATTCTTATTATATTATATTTTATCATAGTATATTTTTATGTTTATATTATATAATATATAATTATATTTATATTATGGTATTATTTATTATTTTTATTATTTTATTAATTTTGTATTTATTTACCCTTAATAGAAATTATTATTATTATTGTTATTGTTGTTATTATTATTATTATTGTTAGTATTATTTTTATTATTATTACTATTATTTTTATTATTATTACTATTACTATTATTATTACTATTATTCAATTTTTACAGAAACAATGGTGGACTTAAGACCTGATTGCCCTTTAGTGTCACTATAGGATATGAAACAACACAATGCAGACTCGCTGTTCTTTCTAAGGTAAAAAAGGGACTTTTATTTTTCTGACTCTAATATTTATAGATTTCCAAAAGTGACAATGGATTGGAGGGTGAAAGTGCCACCTCTCCAATGACACTGGACAAACTGTCTATTAAATTCCTCCTCCTCCATAAAAGAATGCAAAACAATAAGTTATTTACATAAAGTGTGTGAGAAAGTTCGTTACAAGAATGCAAACATCAGAAAGTTTAAAAAATCTTTAAAAAATCAGAGCAACACTTTAAGAATCTTCTTTACACTACTGGTGAACTATGAATAGTACACTCTGGAGAATCTTATCTGTAAATAATAGAAAGAGAGATAATAATTGTTTTAATTCTCTGAGCT